AATACATCACACAGAGGCCTTACAAATCATAAAGAGGCCTGTTTTAAAAATCTGGAAACAAAGTGATCCGTCAGAAGCATTAATCACAACAAAACTACATGAAAATTGCAGACTCGGTTTGATTGAGTCTGTACATGAGGGATAATGAATAAGCTCAACATCCCTCACGCCCCCTAGCACCGGCTTGAGTGGTACTCAATTCTCAACGCTTAATAGTGCTGGCATCAATGATCCCGAAGGACCAGAAAAATATAACAACACTGAAGTGAATAACGGGGCAACTTTTTACATCTGTCACACAGCACTTGACACGTACCTGCTGTTATGAAGTATAAAAATCTGGAAACAAAGTGATCCCTCGGAAGCATTAATCACAACAAAATTACATGAAAAGTGCATACTCGGTTTGGTTGAGTCTATAACACACAGATATATAATAAATCACACGGATGCCTTACAAATCATAAAGAGGCCCTGTATAACGCACATATGCCTAAAATATCACACTGTGGCTTCACTTATGATACAAGGCCCTATTAAATGATACAGAGGCCTATAGTAACTTACATAGGTAGACTGGCTATCGTATTGTATCATTGTATTAGTAGTGGAGTTACATAATTTTTAAAATTATAAGTCTCTGTTTTTTTTTCAAGAAATGTACTTTCCACATAAATTGATAATGTGTTATCTTGATATTCATGTTATCTTACATATTTATTGCACTTTATATAAAACACAAGTGTTTTTAAATAAAACGCAAAACCTGCAATAATGAACAAATGCTGACCAAAATCTCATATATATATACAACTGCATATGGTTTTCAGACTGATAGTATTGTTTTTAAAAAAAGTGCATATGTTTACTCAGGCCTACTCAGCCCGTCAGTACTATGTACTTTGATATTGATACGGAGTTCATAAGATACAATTTCACCATGGATGAACAAGTTTTGTCACGTGACCACAAATGCAAACGCCGGACCCAATTTCAGGTAATTATTTGCAGATATCTTTTTTTCCACTGCGAGCACAAAAATAAGACATAGACCGTAGGACCCGGTGTAAATTAAGCTTTTATTTTATGTGAGTAGTCATTACTAGACTTAAGTAGTTTTTTAGAACACTTCGACACAAATGTTCTTTTCGCAAAGCAAACGCCGATAGGTTTTACTTTTTCCAATCATTTTTTTCACTGGCGAAATACATGTTGAGGTAAAATAATAGAGGATATGTCTTTTAAAATGCCATTTCCGTCCCTAACTCATTTATAATTCCATTAGCAAAGTTATATTTGACATAATCCCATGTTATTCATCGTATTGTCTAATTTGCAAACGTCGTTTGAACATGTAAAATATGCAAACGCCGGTTGAACATATTAAGGACGTTTTCGGGAGTTTTCATATGGACATATAGGCAAAACTAAAATTGTTCAATAGAATTTCTTTAAACTTGGCATGTTGTTAGAATATGATAACAGAAACATTTAAAGCGAAAAGAAAATTGGGGTCACCGTTCTCGTTGTTGAGTTATCTGCCCCTGAATCAGACTTTTCTACTTATTTGAGGTCATTTCATGGGCAGATTACTTAAACATACTTAAATGAATTCTTGTTTTTACTTCTGGATTATGTTTTTCTTTTTATTGTTGAGTACAATACATAATAGCATGCAATTCCTTACATTGTTTCTGTTAAATTTTTTCAATGAAAATAAAGGTACTTTAAATTCTTAAAAAATAGTCCATTGTTTTAGAAAAAATGCACCGGTTAAAAGAAGAAGTTGATATAAAAACTACCCAAGTTTGTTCTTGAAATTTTGCATATCAACTAAAACGAAGATAAGCTTCATGAAAAAAGGAAGAAAAAATTGTTTTGTTACCATTCATTGTAAATTATCTGCCCTTGAATTTAACAAAAAAGTCCATTTCAAGGACAGATATCTTAAAAATGAGAACGGTGACCCAAATTTTTTTTTCGCTTAAAACAAGTTAAAAAAATTCTATTGAACAGTTTTAATTTTGCCTATATGTTTATATGAAAACTCCCGAAAACGTCTTTAAATATATATATTTCTTTCATCTCAGACAGGATTTTTGCATCTAAGACAGGAATATCTACCGTTTTCACCGGTGCTGGAATACTCTGTCTTACACCCCCCCCCCATGTAAGACAAGTCGCGTGCTTTAAATGACGTCATTGAAGCGCGACTTTTTTGAATGAATAGCATTCTTAGGATGACGTCATTTTCCGTTATGAATGAAGTTGTATGTTCATACGCTACTATAAGAAGAAATGCGTAATGAGAATATAAGTTTTCATAATTTCTGTTCTGAAAGAAATTGACATGTAATATGCAAGAAAAAGTATCAAACACCGGCTGTTGGTACAGACGGAAATATCTAGCTCTCGCGAAACTGTTAAGCGGAAACTCGGCAGAGCCTCGTTACCGCTATAAACAGTTACCCTCGAGCTAGATATTGCGGTCTGTACCGGCAGCCGGCGTAAGATTCTTATAATCTACCGTTTACACCGGTGCTGGAATACTCTGTTCTACACCCTAATATAAGACAAGTCGCATGCTTTAAATGACGTCATTGACGCGCCTTTTATGAATGATTCGCGTTCTTAGGATGACGTCATTTTCCTTTATGAATGAAGTTGTATGTTCATACGCTACTATAAGAAAAAAGTACGTAATATATATATCAGTTTTCATAATTTCTGTTCCGAAAATATTCGACATGTAATATGCAAGAAAAAGAATCAAACACCGGCTGATGGTACAGACGGGAATATCCAGCTCTCGGGTAACTGTTTAGCGGAAACTCGACAGATATTCCGGTCTGTACCGGCAGCCGGTGTAAGATTCTTATAAACCGGTGGTTATTTAAGTCAAGTTGCAAATATTACAATTCTCTGAACAAAAGACTTCTCTCTTTTCCCCTTCTTTTTATTTTAAAACATTCTTCTTCTTCAATAACAAACTTTTATAAAACTTCTGTATATCCCATATATATACATACATACATTAAACCGTATAATCTTCTCAAAAATCAATTCCACACAAAATCCGTCGGGAATAAACTTCGATTTAAAAATCTAGAAAAAAAATCAATCTTCTTAGGTTGAACTATACAGCGACGTTGAACTACACAGTGAGATCACTTGGAGTTACTTGTTTCAAATAAAATTTAACGAAGGTGTTTTCTTTTGACCAATCTGCAGCGTTGAGAATAAGGACCTAAAGCTCTTGTAGAATGTGCAGTTTCACTTATATGTTTATCTGCGTGAACACCTGGATTTGGATGACATATCTGAGATTTGGTTGTTGTAACAGATTTGTAACCAATAGAAGACATAACGGTTGAGCTACCGACAGATTCAATAAATCTGGAAACCATGGGCGTCGTGGCCAGAATGGAGTTATTAGAATCAGTTTGCAATGAAACTGTTTAATATGATGAAGAACTCTTGAAATGAGACAGATATAGTTCAGCGTTCAAAAAGGCATCAACGGGCGCTTGCATATATTTCAAATGACCAACCGACGTTTGCATATTTTACATGATCAAACGACGTTTGCAAAATCGACAATAAGGGGAAAACATAGGTTTATATCGAATATAACCTTGCCAATAAAATTATAAATTAGTTAGGTACGAAAATTACTTGTAAAAAGATATATCTTCTTATATTTTCCCTCTACATGGGTTTCAAGTGAACAAAAAAGATAAGAAAAGGTAAAACCTATCGGCGTTTGCCTTGCAAAAAGAAAATTTGTGTCGAAGTGTTCTAAAAGAACACCTAAGTCTCGCAATTACTACATACATAAAATAAAATCTCAATTAACGCCGGGTCCTATACGGTCTAGGTCATAATTTTGTGGATGCAGTAGAAAAAAAGATATCTTCAAATAATTACCTGAAATCGGGTCCGTAATTGCTGAAATGTAAAATCGGCGTTTGCATTTGTGGTCACGTGACAAAACTTGTTCATCCAGGGTGAATTTAAATATTAATTTTATGATACAAAAAGAAAGAGTTTTCTAACAGTCGAATACATATTAAATGGCATTATTTTCTAGAGCGCACAAAAGGCGTTTTAAAAGTAAAACATTTTTCGGATTTGAACTATGGCGTGGCTATAGCACTGCACATGCGTCTGTCGGTCGACACACTTGGTTTGTCTGCAGTCTGTAGCGTTCACATTAACGGAGTCCCAAAATAGGCTTATCTGCTCTGTGTCCATGGCAACAACTTTATCTTATTATTTATTTATTTATTTACTTACTTATTTTTTATTCATTTACTGTAGTTATTTATCTATTTATTTTTATTAGAAATGCACAAAATGTGTATTACCAGTAGACTTTTGTTAACCTTGAATGTTGACTCACTTGTGTATTTCTAGATTTTAGTTTGTTGAAGAATAGACATTGCATGACCTATGACTTCACCCGTTTCCTTCTTGATATCACCCTGCATATGTGATTGAACTTTGACACGGAATATGACTAATTGACATATATATTATAAGTAACATTGTCTAACAATAAGTCTTTGATGATCTATATATAGAGTCATGATCCTTTCCATTATGATGGACATTTAATTCCAGTCTGCCAATATCTTAATTTCAATTATTTTGACCTCAATAAACAGAGGAAATGAGTTGTTGCTACAACGTCTTTTCTCAAATATGATAAATTCTTTATATTACTGCTCGTTTGAAACATCTTCACATGTATGTTTCTAATATACATGAGAAAATATTATGTATTTTCACATAGGAAGCGATGAATTTTTGTTATAAACGTTAATTATAATAAGGACAAATTTCTATTCCATAAATAAAGTGCCCAAAGACAGTCCTCACTTGAAGAAACTCCTGATTGAAGTCCATTTATCGAGAATCCTACCTCTCCTACTGTAAAATACAAATGAAAAAAAATCTCTCTTTTACTCTACGGTCCGGATCGAACGGAAATTAAACAAGCTTTTAAAAGGAAGTAAAATAGGCTGTTGTTAAAAAGCCCTACACTGAGTGTATATAAATGCTCATTTATGATAGAATAAAACGCTGTCTTAAGGTAATTATGTTTTGTAATATGTTTTATTTGTTTTATTATGTAATTATGTTTATGTTTTGCGGATGTTTCAAAATTCCAAATTGTACCAGTTCATGTTAAATGTTGAATTCTGCTTAAGCCGGTGCTAGGGGGCGTGGACGGTAGTTTGCACTTGACAGTACGGTCCATGAACAGGCTCAATCAAACCGAGCCTGCAACATTTTCAATTTTGCCGTATTGGGCTTTCTTAAGAGATTCTTACTTTCTCTATTATATATTTGATTGGTATACACACTTGAAAGTTTGATGAACTGCGCATAAAATATGTTAAGCGAAATTTAATAGTTAGATCTACTCAGTTTATTTTGATTTATTATCAAACTAATTAGCTACATGTACATTTGTTAATTGAATGATGTGTTGAGGCTTGACATACTATATTATATTCATTACAACAGGTAACAGCAATCATATGATCTAACAGTTGTGAATAAAACATTATTTTATTTTACACCGGAACTTTAAATAGCGATTTAAGTCAATGATATAACATTATGTAGTATTGATTTGTCCTAAGTAACATGATCGTCGTTCAAAGTGTTTCACAAAGACAGACATAAATACATTATCAAATACTTGAGATAACAGAAGAATTTGTAGCGTACTTTTGAGGCGTGTCACGACAAAACAAACATAATGGGTTTGCGACCAGCATGGTTCCAGACCAGCCTGCGCATCCGCGCAGTCTGATCAGGATCCATGCTGTTCGCTATTAGTTCTTTACTTGTTTTAGGGTCTGTAAGCGAACAGCATGGATCCTGCTCAGACTGCGCGGATGCGCAGGCTGGTCTGGATTCATGCTGGTCGCAAACGCATTATGTTGGTTTTGTCGTGACATGGCTCATTTGTGATTTATATTTTTGATGAAGTACTAACTATCTTGCCTGTAACCATGAAAAAGTAACAATTAATTGCTAATTTTGCCCTGTTTCTCATTTTATTAGGTATATTTCTTATTTCAAACAGAGTTTTATTGTATCGTTATGCGTGGAAGCATGATACTTAATCTAATAATTTGTCTATTAAAGTTAGAATAGATTTATATTGGCCTATATATTAAGTTTATTTAAGGCTTACCAATGTACACAATTTATAATCTACAAATATAAATAAAAAAAATCATTCAAAAAGTAGTTTGCCAATTATTATGATTTATAAGAGACTATAAAATAACATGGGACAAAGTAAAAACCTCGTATGTTCGTAAGACTCAGTGTGCTCGAACAACCACCCTTTGTTCTTCAAGTTACAGGCAACATTTTGATATCAGTGCTCGAACAACCGCCCTCTGTTCTTCAAGTTATAGGCAACATTTTGATATCAGTGCTCGAACAACCGCCCTCTGTTCTTCAAGTTACAGGCAACATTTTGATATCAGTGCTCGAACAACCACCCTTTGTTCTACAGTTACAGGCAACATTTTGATATCAGTGACATTGGGTTAAAAAGAACGTCAAGGAAAAGTTTCCTTATCATTTGTTTGTTAAACATCAATGAAATATCGTTTACTTACTTCAACCCAAAACACCAAAGTTTTGTCGCTTCAGTTAGAGTTTTGATTAGCAAATCGGCATATTTAACATATCTTGGGCCAATTTAACAAATACAAAACATAAAACATCGTTTTGATTCTTTTGTATATAAAGACTAAAACACAGTTATATATTGGTTTGTTAATTCGCATTGGTTTTACTTAATCATAGCACTATCTTATATTTTCATTTTTGTTATCGTTTTTTCTTCTTCCACTTACCTCTTACTGAAGTCAAGTTGTTGACAATCAACATAATCATGAATTATTATACTTACATGTAGTTTTTAAAAAATGGTGTGGTTATCTTAACATGCCTTTGTATTTAATTTTACCAATGAAATATGTTATCTGGTTATATTTTTTCAAAACAGTTATGGCTGTGATACATTGTGTATTGAATTCGAACCGTGTCACGCAATGTATTACTGCGCGTTGACAATTGCAACTGCGAAGTAAACAAGTGTATTCGTAAACATCTTTTTTCTTGGAAGTAAAATTAAATAAAAAGGTTATTTTTTCGTTTTTTCGTGAAATATGGAATACATTTGCATTTAACGCCTTAAAATTCTATATATTTCACTCGCGTTCCCGGCTCGTAAAATATAGGGAATTTTCTCATGTTTCGTGAGAAATATTCCATATCTTACTAAAACAAAATACTCTTAATATTTAGATACCTACGCAGTAAAACAAAAATAAGCAACCTTTCTATAATGTTATAAAATGTATTTTTTACAATTTCAATCCATTTCAGTACTAAGAAAATGGCATCTATTGTTGGAGATGACATTGTACAAGATTCAGACGAATGTCACGAAATGCACTGCGAACAATGCTACGAATTCGGTGAAACGGCAGATGCAGAAGGATTTTGTAATGAGTGTTTTGAGTATATGTGCCAGTCATGCCTTAAATATCACAAACGACAAAATCCACAACACAACATACTCGATAGGGCAGCGATGCCACACGAGTTTTGTTTTGAGCAATGCCCCGCTCATCAAAAATATATCAGGTTCTACTGCCCCAAATGTGAACTGTTTGCCTGCTCGGATTGCAGAAAAACAAAACATACAACATGCGATAACATCAACCATGTTTCAACTATGGCTACTAGAATAGAAGAAAGTAACGAACTGAAAGAGGCTCTTAAAGATATAGACTTTATTTCTAATTCGCTAAAAAAGGTTCAAAATACACTGGAGGATGGCGTCAAAGATATTGAAACGAAACAAAAACTAGCTCAGCAATCGATTGAGAAATCAGGTCAAAGTAGGAAATCACACTTTGAGGAACAACAACTTAAATGTACTGCAACATTTAATAAGTACCTCACAGATATGTCATCACTTATAGAAGAGGAAAGGCAAAGAACTGTTACTCGTTTGAGAAAGGAACAAAATGACCTTGATGTTAAACTGACTTTCACAGAAAATGTAAAACTCCAGGAATTAAGAAAAGCTTCTGAAGAAGATGTTAAAGCACATCGATCTTTATTGGCAAGAAATGTATCACTATTGGATAAAGTAAAGGACAATTCGTGCGATTTATACCAGTACATGGAAAATAAGCAAAGATGCAAACTGTTAATTGCAATGAAGAAAACATCGTCTGAAATGAAGAAACTAAAGAAACAAATGATATTGCTGACAAGCCAAACTTCAGCTTTGAAGAAAAACACTCTACCAGACCGAATTATAACTGACGCTAGATCTTACCAAGTAAGACCATTTCGTGGATTCAACGCAATAATTTTGTTACACAATGAACGAAATTAATAAGTTACCAACCATGCAATTAATACTCGATCTATTTTGTTATGTTTTCTATCTTCATTATGTCATTTTACTTTTTATATAATTCATTACTCATATGTTTACATTTTTTTTGAAATGCATTATGAAATCATATAAAAATAACATCCAATGAGTTTTACAATGAAAGAAATATTTCAACAGTGAAAGGCTACAAAACCTTTAAACAAAAATCAAAAACATCAACAGCTGCTTGGCGTTTATTTTACCACATACCGTTTATTTTTTACCACATGCCGTTTATTTTACCACATACCGTTTATTTTACCACAAACCGTTCAAATAATCAGGGACATTTTATGTATTTAGTTATTTGGGGTTAAGTCCAAATTCAAAGGATCAGTTCAATGTATTTAACTTACTCATATATTTGAACAAATATAAATGGGTCTCACACTTCATACTACTCTCGTTTTTCGAATTACATTACTTAATTTATCAAAAGTTGTATCATATTCAGTTGTAAGTTTTCTATTGTAGGCTTCAGTAATGTCACAATCTACAGGATATGATGGTAATAAAAGTACTGACCATCCTTCAGGAACCAGGTACGATTCTATAAATTTAGATACTTACAAATATTGATGCAAATGTCCCAAGCACTATGCATGTGTGCTATGACTTTGATATTTGGCCTGAAATTATACCATACCAATAACAACAAATTAATATAAAAATTGTAAATGTAGTTGATAACAAAGATAATCTTTCAAGACACATTTTAATGATTGTTACATGTAACAACATGTTCAAACTATGGTACTATATTATCAGCGTGGTAAAATTAAAAAAAGAAACCTTATCATATACATTGTAATGATTTTAAGTGGGTATAAACTATTAAAGAGACAAAAATCATTTTTCTAGCTGTTGATTAAAAACATTTAGAAAAAGAAATTACGTATTATCGGAGCTTCATTTTTATTGCTATTCACACAGAAAAAATTCAAGTACTAAGATGTTCCAATGGTGCGTGCGATAAAGACGGATTTGGCAAGTTTTGCCAGGAATGTGGACACAGAACAGTTCAGGAAAATAAATTTGGGGTATTAATAATTTGTAAAGGAAAACTTGAAGATGGGCAAAATTGTAATTCAGAATTTTTACCTGGACAGAATTACTGCATGACCTGTGGGATGAAGGTTGAGCGACCTGTTCAACAGGTACTAGAAGACAAATTTAGTAAGTACTCATCACCTATCATTTTCTAAATGACGTTTATTCACATATGTTGGAAATCACAAAATCGCATAATCTTATCACTGAATGAGTTTAGATATTATATGAAACATTGTCTAGTGAACCTTTCGCTTGTTTGTTCCCATCTTGACGGGTGTCAAAATTGCAACCCCGTAGGTGCACTCAATGACTAATGTTTTTATAATTGGATTTAAGAAATATGAAATATGGATCATGTTTACATTTGAACTCGGGTATCAGCTGACCTCGATTTTGATCTAGTGGCCATCTGTTGTTTTTTATGAACAACTATGAAATATGATTTATGTTTACGGTTTTGGCTTCAAATTCTAAATCTTATATCAGCTGACCCCGATTTCGACCTACAGACTTGCTTTTTCATTTATTTATTTATTGATATACAGCCATAAAATGGAGCTTTTGCACAGTTTCAAATTCATTTTTAAGTCATTATATTGACCTCTAATATATAATGATGAACTACATTTTTTTGTTAACAGAGATCCAAAACTTATCGAAAATTGACCATTCATTAGAAGATGAAATAAAGTATGTGAATCTGAATGCCACAAAATCAGACGGAGTACATATGGCAAGAATTTGTATGGTCACCGATGATGAAATCATAAAGATGCACTTGATAAGAAAGTCAGATAGTTTCCTGTCAAGTTTAAATACGGACATTCAGTCTTGTTGTACAAAAATATTTTATTCTTTGAAAGAAAATCAGGTTGTTCTATCACATGACGCAGCAATTATTGAAAATGTAAACTTTGAATTAGTATTACAACAACTTCAAAGCGCGGAAGATATCTTTCGTAGTTTTTTGGGGCAGATAGTTGCCAAGAACGTCTATATACAACGGGATTCGTGGTGTGCAGTGAAGCAAAGATTAGATGAAATAAATGTGAGTGATCCAGAACATGTTGCCGTGGTGATCGATTCAAATTTGTACGTGATCACTGTAAGCATTGTAGGTAAAAGAACATTAGTTGAGGATGTGTTTCAAACAATTTCATCAGTGCATGTCTAAGAATATATCTGAGGCGTCTGTGGACACAGTGGTTAAGATCGCTGACTTCAAAGCCCCCTTGCACAGTCAAGTGCTGTTTGGTTTGAATCCCGACAGAGCGTTATATTCCAGCGCTAGCTTACGAAACGTCGGTGGTTTTTCTAGGTGCCCTGTTCGTTGCACGGAAAGGATACCTGAGGTCCTTTCTCACACCAGATAAGCTGGACAATCGCCATATGACATACTACTGTGGTTTATGCACATAAGAAAACCACAAATCCAAATAGGGAATGTATCAAAGATATTTCGTCAAATGTTTTCTATTTGCTGCGACTAATACCAATTAAAATATGATTGAAATGTCAACAGTATGTCCAACGAAATGTAATTTTATTAGTCATTTCTCAAGCTTTATTGTGGCTTGTTAATATTTGGTGTATTGTTATAGTTTCGAACAGTTTTTACTCATAGGCTAAATAAAACCTGAAATCGATTTGCTGTCTGTGCTTTCTGGTAATGAAGTACAGGAAGAAGTTAACAGAGAATGAAGTATTTTGGTATGGAGCAGTCAAAATAACTACTTTTTTTACATTTTGCATCTTTTATCAAAATAATTTTTACGATGCATTGTTTGTTTGCAGGGTGTCACAAGCATCTTACATGCTCTTAAACCATTGTTTAAACATTATAAAACTGATGTTTGCCTTTTCTTAAGAAGGACAAATATATACGTTTCGAAGGCATAATGTGCCTTTAAGGTTATGCCTCAAACATGAAACACGATTCAAACAGTGAGAATTACATTGTTATATTCGTTGGTTTGTTGATTACATCTTACTTCTCATGTTTTAAATTTCAATAAATTCAAGACAACGCTATCAGTGTTTGATTTACATAAAACAGAAACATTTCTTTTTTCATCGAATATCTGTGTATTTAAATCTTATTATGACATTAAGGACAGATATATTATGTACATTTTGTCATGTATGTAGGGTAAAAAAGGTAAAAGTATATGTAAGCTAACTGTTAATAGGTTAATAGTGTCCGTCATTAGGATAGTGCATTAATTAATTAGAGCAAATGATTTGTAATAAAGAAGTGATAATATATCATTAGTTTTGTCATTCGCTTAATTAAAAGCCCATAAAGCCCCCTAAAATGAATCATTTTGAAATTTTTAAAAATTTCTCCATCTGCTCTCTGTTTTTCTATAAATACATGCATATAATTACAATCAATATTAAACTCAGGTTTACCTTTTCTTTGCTGGAAAAAAACATTTGCAATTTAGATGATTGAAGTGGTCATTAAATATGCCTAAGTTTTGTATGGACGGCAAAATACCAGTTCGTCAGTTTTGGTACTTTAATGACAAATTCTATTTTATATAAATGTCGACTTTTTATCAACAAATACGCTCTAATTAAAATCATTATAAAACTCAGCTTTGCCTATTTGTCAGAAAAATCATTTGTTGTTCAGAAAGAAATGTTACAATTTCTTAGCAAAACTGGTGATTACTCGCAGGAACACTTAGAGGAGAACATCATCAACAACACGTTTAATGCTAACGAATTAACATACCTAATTCTAACGAAAGGATATAACGAATTCAATCAAACAAACTATTTTGTCATATATGTTTGTCAAAAACTTTCCACGATTTTTTAAAGGCCACAAAATAAAAAAAAAGGCAGATACCACGATTAGAGACATACAAGTGATTAACGTAAGTAACAAACATTAAACTTATGAAACAGAAAAACGTACTGGTTACTATTTAAGTTCAAGGCTTATCACCATTGAGTCGGCACACATTTTCTGCATTGTATCCCCATTTCGCTCTTTTGGGCAACAAAGGTAAATAAACTTTACCAAAAATGTATTATATCACGAGCGATTATTGCACGGTGATGCTGTCTAGAGGTTTGTAACCACCCATTTTCTGTTTTTTACTTTGGAATAAATCAATTAGAATTAATAGAATTCATGATTACAGGCAATGATTAATATTTTTGTAAGACAATATGGTCATTTCGATTAAATGGTAAAACATTTCGTAAACGTTTACGAATGAAAATCGAAACGGATCCGTTGAAACGTGTAACCGTGGGGGCCTTACAAGGAACCGGTATGATTATTAAATAAGCAAGTATTGTCTGGCAATATTGACCTGGGACTCATTAATTTTCGGAGGTGTTTCGTAAGTTTACGAAACTTGTTATGATTAATGCTAAAGGTTTAATTGATAGTATAGATCTCGATATTAAATCAATTAATATTGCTCGATGACCTAGTGGTGGTAAGTATGACGAAGTTGTGACCTAGTAGGCCAAGTTCGAATCTTTGAAAATCCTTTTTGCAGTTTTCATAAAACTATTTTATTATTTCTTTTAACTATATGAAACAGAAGCTGATAAATACTGTTTCATTTCTAGCATTTTCTTATTTCATAATTTGATTAATTTTGTAAGGCGAATGATATGCTTGTAATTCTACTTGTAATTCTACCTTATACATATACCTTTTTACCAGACATCGAAATCCGTATTGTATACTTCAGAATGCGATAATTACCGCCAAATAATTAACGGTCATCGAATATTTATCGAATATTTGCGAAGTGACTCTGAAAATATATATGTTTTAATTATTGCATAAAACAAATGCAATTCTACCGTAAAAGTGGTATCTGCATAAAAAATATTCGTATGCGCTATCGAAAAAATATATAATTTAGTTGAAATCAACATTCCTGTCGTTACATACAATGTAGTTAACGTTTAATTGCCTTTCAGACCAACACAAAGATATTTTATTAGTTTTCTCTATGTATCTAATAAGATTCCGGATCCCTACCGTTATTCCGTTTAAATAGCAACCTGCGCGACGGAAATCGACGGAGTATAACGAAGACGACGATTAATGTGCTTCTTTAGGAAGAATCTGTTTATAATTAGATAAAATAATAAAATATAATAGGTCTCATAAGATATAAACAACCAAATGATTTAAATGTGTCATTTCAAATATCATTCATGATTTATCTATCATAAAATAGCAACACTTGACACTCAGAAAAAAGTAAAAGTATCTCTAAATTCAATGACTGGTCTATAGGGATACATTATTAATTCATTTTATGAAAATTGTAATGTTGTTTTTAAAGATGTCAATATTTGTAGATTTCACTTCCTTGAGCAACGTTACTTTATGTTTGAATTTTTAAGATTATGAAAAATAATTTTGGTCCTTAATTGTTCAAGAATTAATTAGCTTTTATTTTCAGATTTTAAGGCCTTCTCCACCATAGATATAATATTAAACTTTTACAAATATGGTCGCCGGTTTCTACCGGCGACTAATGAATGTTAAATCTTATAGACTGTGTCAATGCAGTGATGTTGTAGCATATATTCATACAATTATGTTGAAATGGTACGGAAATGATTAATATCAGTTACTTTGTGGTCTACAAAGTGAGGTAACATGTCCAAGTGTTACCTTGGCCTTGAACTGAGGAATGTTAAACCTGCGCTCTGAGCATCGTCTCATTTTGGTTAACATTTCAGTTTCTTTCCCCAGTTCAAAAGATAAAAAGAACTTCTAACAGGAACGGACGATCAGGTGCATAACATTATACGCCGATATTTTTTTCGGGCGTGCATGAAAGAAAGGGGCTAAATTTTGCAAAAATGAATTTGAGGATAATCCGTGATATTTGACTGTTAACAAGTATATCAAGGTTAAAGTGAATACCTTTAATATTTCTTAGAAAATGGATATTAACAAAAATGTTCATCAGGACTGAAAAAGGGGCATAACTTTGCATAAAATAATTTAATGATTATCTGCCCTCTTTATTGGTGTCCATTTAAGACAATACTCATTTGTGCTAAGATTTAAGAGAATAGCTTTTTATACTTTCTGAGAAAATGGAACTTAACAAAAGGTTAACTTACGCCGAAGCTGACGCCCACGAGGGGGCCATTGAAAATTGCCAATTTGCAGAGAATACGATCATATATCTAATAATTCAACACAACTCAACATTTTATAGTTAATCATATCCTCAAAAAACATAATTATGTAAAACAGTGAGTAAACCTGCAACAAAACAATTGTTGATGAAAACTAAAAATGTAACAACGTATGAAACGATAAAAAATTAAGATAATATATGAACTGATTTTGTGTAATAAAAACAAATAAACACAGACACTTGGTGCGTAGCTCAAAATGCCTTAAGATTGAAATAAAATGTATATTTGTCATTCCCAGCACATATATACTTATCGTATACATGTATATCAATAAAACTTAATTAATAAACGCTGTTTTGAGAAAAAATATAGACGTTGAAATATGATTCTTTTCAAAACAGGGTATTAAGTTTTATTGATATACACTGTATAAAGTATATGTGCTGGAATTGAAAAATACACATTTTTATTTCGATTAAAAAACGTTTGGAGCCCCTTACCCCAAGTGTCTGTAACATTAAAGACATCGAGACAAAAAGTTTCTTTTTGTGAATGCAAAAATCACGGAGTTAACTTAACTGTTAAAATCCAATTAGTATCAATCACAGATGTGTCAAAATAGAGGCCCATCTGTTGAACAAATACATTGAAATGAAGATAAGTTCTCGAATTTCTGATCAAGTATACTTGTGATTTTTGTGTTTATTAAAACAACGTTTGATTTCCGGAATAAACACAAATAACCACAAATTAACTAAACATGTTCATCATTTTTTGTGTCCCAGGTGGATATAACCTTTTAGAAACACTAATGAACGTGTATTACATCAAACAAATTGAGTCAGCTTGTTCACAACCGCGGATACTAATCATTGTAATGAAAAGGTTAAAATCAAGAACTTCATATTGCTGCTTAAATTAATTTTGCACAGTTAGAGCTAGTCCTTATTAAAATATTTGAAAACCCTTCATAACATATTACATACACTTTTGTTCGATTTGTGCAAGATATACTGTACATATAATAATAATAAAAAAAAAGAAACTTCCCCTGAAATTTAGTGCAGATATACACAAATATGAAATTTAAAGTAGATTTACATGTATATGTCTATTGAAAGATTATTTTATTGCGATTTTTGTAAAAAAAAATATTGCTGAGGGTTTATATTGTTCCTTGTTGAGGGCCTCATTATTATTATTATTATTATTATTATTATTATTATTATTATTATCCAAAGTTAGTAAAAATGCAGTTAAAATGAAGAAGGGGTCGCCAAACAACATCACAAATTAATATCGGGTATGACCACTTTCAACATGAAGGACAGCCTGGCATTGTTGGCGCATAGAACGGATCAGCGTATTGGACTGAATTAAAGTTTGTCATAGCTAAATGACGTTTGACAGTGGAATAGGGCGACGTCTAACACGCCGGTCCAAATTATCTCAAGGTGTTCAATTGGATTTAGATCAAAGCTTTTGGCAGGCCAGTCATTAATAAATGTAATGTTATTCGCCCTGAGGAAATTCAGAGTGTCCCTAGCTGTATAGCTTGTGGCATTATCATGTTGAAAATGAGTAATATTGGCATTATATTGAAACGGTGTCTGAGTGGGATAACAAGCCTCGCAAGAATTTCATCTCGGTAGCGTTGTGCATGCAAATCCCCTCGATAACGACGAGATTATTTCGAAAGCCGTGTGCAATGCCTGCCCGGACCAAGACATAACCCCCACCCCTAAACGATCTCGTTCAAGTACACAGCAGTCGGCATAACGTTTGTTTCACCCACAGTATACTCCACCCTTGCCATCAGCTTGGCAACGAAAACCTTGACTAGTCAGAGAAAAGAACGCGGTTCCATTGTTGTCTAAGCCAGCGTTGGTGTGTACGTGCCCAATTAACCCGATTGACGCGGTGACGTCGCCTCAAAACACATCAACTGGTGGTCGATGTCCATGTAGCCAATCCTCGCGCAAGCGATTGAGCACAGTTTGGGAAGATATACGGTTGTAATGTGTACCAGATGTGCCAGCAGCAGTACCTGTGGCAGTTTGGAAGCGATTGCCCCGGCGGGTGTTTCAAATATAGCGGTCTTGGGCACGCTTCGTAACGCGTGGACGTCCACTTTGTGATCGATCGTCTGTACGTTGCTTGAAAACGTTGCCTCATGTGTCGAATAGCACGAGTAGAACATCCAACCTTCATAGCAACGGCATTCATCGTCATACCTGCCAATGGTACGTTCGCATAATTTTGCGGAATTCTTGGCATATCAAAATAAAGAAAGAAAATGTCATCGTGTTTGTCTTATTGACATGAAAGTCTCTATGCACGTGAAAATCGCGTCAAAACGAGTTAAAATCGATATCGGACATAATCGATCGCCCGAATGTATGTAGCTCATTTGACATTTTGATTTTTTAAATAGCGTAAACAGTAAACACAGGGGAACTATCTTTTTTGTTCAGTATATTATGTAATAAGCAAGTAAACTTAGTACGAGTATACCAAACTCCTCACAGTGATTACCTCCCTTGGCAGAAGAATTAAAGGGGAGATCACTGTGTGGAGATTGCGAGTATACCTGATTTTTAAACGATTATTTGTCAATATTGACAATGTTAATATTTTCAAGGGAAACAACTTTTCATATCTTATAGATATAAGTCTTGTATTATGTTGCTTCCCTTCTATAGGTTATTGGCCTATATTTACGTGTTTACACACAGTATAGCATAAATATGCACAGATACATCTTTTGATTACATCAATGTTCTATTTGTGATTTATTGGTTCTGGATTAATGCTAAGATGTCAAGGTTAGTGAAATAACTTTTAGGCTAAGTTATAGGCTATAATATAAAGAAAAATATAATGAAGCGGATGCCCTATTTGATCAGTGTCTTTTAAAACATTAAATATCTGAACTGCATATTGACATCATTTACAAACTTAGGGTCTACTGTTTTATTATCGGCTGCAAATGTTCATGCATACATGACGTACAGTATCCATCTTTTTAACTTGCATATAATTACAAAAAAATAATCGATAGATTGAGGGGTTGGGTTAAGAATTACTACAAATTAAACAGAAATACGTGTTTATAAACAAGTGTAATACATATATCTTATATATAACTCTACAGACCAACGAGCGTTTAAATGTGGAAGAGTGCATGTGAATCTATTTGTACGATACCTATGTATTCCTAAGTAAGAGATCTTAAAACAGTGAACTGCAGTTTCGACTCCGTTATATTAGATGTTGAAGTGTCAAATAAATCTGTAATTAATTGATTCAGTTAACTCTGTTTTATCACTGAGTAATGAGTTTATGACTGTTTTGAAGCACTTTGCAGTCCAGTTGCGTAGCTGCCTGTAACTTCTTAACACACATACCTGCACTTTAAAAATATATTATTATTGTACTTTTTTGATGACTATTGATGAGTTAGCAGACTATGATTAGGTCAGTTGTGTATTTGATCGGCAGATCCTTACTTTGTGTATTTTCCTTGTTCATGCCTAATTATGGTTATATTAATTAATATAACCATAATTAGGCATGAACAAGGAAAATACACAAAGTAAGGATCTGCCGATCAAATACACAACTGACCTAATCATAGTCTGCTAACTCATCAATAGTCATCAAAAAAGTACAATAATAGCGCTTTTAATGACTTGATACTTTTTAAAGCAGCACGCCTCAATATTCATGTTAATTTTGTTCATGAAAATTTTGGAAATTTATTTTAAGGTAAAGTAATGTGAGGTGAAAGAGCAAATAATGTAATTTACATATTGGTGCTTTTGTAATCAGCACTAACAATCCACGAAAATTACCAAAAAGTGGTCAACATTTGCAAAAACAGCCCTTACTGCGTTAATAACGCTGTAGAAATTTGGTGATAAAATACTGCAAAATCAGTCTTAAGCCGCACATACGTGTAAAATATAACTTTGATCTTGGATGTTTTTACCTTTCTTAAAAGTTGAGTGCATTTTTCTCAATATTGATATTCTTGAAATATTTTGGCTCATCTGGATGCGTGCAGCTTTAACCAACTAGAGTATGGCTTTTTAACCTATTGCACACATCTGTGGATGTTTACCGTACATGAAACGGTCTCAATATGACGTTTTGGGACGTAATTAAGGGATTCTTATTTCTCTATTTTGTAGGTAAGGTAATAACAATAACATTGCACTAATATGAACACATACATGTACAATGTATTACCTGTAGAGCTTTATCAAGCATGCTGAAATAATTTACTCTTTTTTAAGGTTGCTGGATGCTATAACAAATCATGACATGTACATGTTAAAGATGTTAACGTCCATGTCTGGCTCGTGTAACCCACGTGAGCTTAATCTGGGTCTTATAAAAGCAGCAAGTCTTGGTAAATATCAACTTCTTTCCTTGTATAAGTAAATTCAAATGCATACCAACATACAACCAGTTTTGTTAACAGGTGATAATACATGCAGTTTGATTGTATTTAGATGACATTAAGCCATATTTAGACTGTACAATTATATTTAATAAACTATACAAAAGTAGTGTATGTATAAGTAGTGTAACTATATTATTGCTTAGAGAAGACATATATGTCATAATTATTTTGAAATAATTCCCGAGAGTTAACAATACATTTAATCTTTTAGGTTACTCGGATTGTATTCAATGTCTGTTAGACGTCGGTGCTGATAAAAATTTCGTGAACCAGTCAAACCAAACACCACTATACGCTGCTGTTCAAAACAACAAAAAAGAAACGGTCAAGCTGTTGTTAGAAAACAACACGGATGTTAATTTGATAAGTGGCCTTCAGCACCTGTCAGCATTGCATATCGCTGCTATGCGTGGTTACTCTGACATAGTTGATTTACTGGTGGAACATAAGGCATCTGTACATTCGAGAGATTACGAAGGAAACACGCCGTTAGTCCTTGCTGCTCGAAACGGGCATTATTTACCCATGAAATCACTCTTGAAAGCCGGATGTGATGTGAACGCAGCTAACTATGAAGGATGTACATCTTTGCATTTCGCGTGCCATAAAGCGCGAGGTTTTCAAGTTCTACTTGACGCCGGCGCAGATCCTAATGTTAGAGACAATGATAATATAACACCGCTGTTAATGGCCGCTTCTGAAGGATTCGATAACGTTGTAAAAGCTCTGGTAGATTTTAAATGCGATGTAAATATTCCCAATGATTCTGTCAAGAGAACAGCATTACACTTGCTAGCATATAAAGGTCACGCCGATTCAATTAACGCTCTCGTGTATGCAGGTGCTGAAATTGACGCATGTGACATCTATGGAAGGACTCCATTGTGGTATGCCATTGAAAATAAAAAATCTGAGGTTGTTAGACTGTTACTGAAATCTTATAGTCACGTTGATACATTTCAGTGCCAAACTTCATCAGAAGAAAATTGTCCTGCAAAAATTGCTTTCAAAAGCCAGCAATTTGATGTTATCAAGTTATTTATGTTGAGTGGATATGAACATGCGCACGTGAGAGAGTGTTTGCAGAGTGACGAATATGCTGATTGGGTAAGATCTTTGAAGGCAGATGACGAGTTTTCGCATTGGTTAGATTTTGGTTCAAGTGCGCAAACGTTGAAACAGTTGTGCAGGAAATGGATCCGGCATCATCTGGGAAGACATTTCTATCATCATTTACAACTTCTTCCAATACCGGATGTGATGAGAAATTATCTTCATTTAGAAGAGCTTCATGACCACTGATGGAAACAGGATTTAGTGTTCCGCTACCTACTATCCATGAACCTTGTGCAATAATATTTTTATCAGGTGCACTCAGTATTTAGAAGGGATATTCTTGACCCCTTGTTCTATACTGTCATAAAAGTAATTCAGAAATAATTTATACAGACTAGGCACCTTTCAAATACATACAGTTAGTATGATGGTCGGCAGTTTCAATAGAAATATCAGTTGTTGGATAAATAAGCATGTCGGTGTATTCATATGTTCAAAAAAAATCCCACATTCTTGATTTATGTTGCTACGAGTTAAATAAAGTCCTGCCTTTAACTGTTTACTTAGTTGTAAAGTATATTTTATATGAAAAAAGTGTTTTAGTTATTAAGTTTGATAATACGGATGTATGCCGTAGATACGCATGAAATACATGATTGTTAACTTTGTGTTGTAACAGATTAACTATTATTAGATTTATTAGGAGTTTACCCGTTACTGCACTTAATTACCGTTATGTAGACTCTTAGTCCCTAAAATAAAGCAGAAAGTTACTTCATCGCAGACACAGAGTACACAATGTACCACTAATTTATATGATATTATAAATACAAATGTATCACGAAAGCATCACTACAGTACTGTTGATGCGACTGTGCACCTTGCCTGGTTGATGAGGAAACTGTGCACCAATGTCTGTTTTATTTCTGGCACGCACGGAATGACGCCTGAGTTGAACATCGACCTTTGAAAAAACATTGTAGCCAAGTTGTTTATGTCACCGTCAAAAATAAAACTACTGTTCTCCTATTTGTGGTAATACTGATATGGAAAAGTTTACAAACTACAATTATGGGGAAATGATATAAACATATACACGTTACAACTTCTAGTATTTCACTTATAGGTTCAAACTGATGTAATTGCTTGAAATAAACTTAATTTTATACCGTAAGGCGGTCGCCGGGAAACACCGTGGAAAAAATTAAATACATTTTCGTAAGTGAATGCAATATCAAATTTACATGATAAATCGTATTATTTTGTTTATAGTAGTTGATTACATTATCGGTAGATAGAGATCAAAGATATGCAACATCAACCGTTCAAATAATGATGAATTTAATATATTCGTGGTGTTGTAATTTTTACTCATCCGAAGAGATTGTGTATAAAGAATATTATTGTATTATTAAAAATTTTAATTTCAAATCGACCTTGATAATATTTGCCTAGATAAGATGTACAAAGATTAGTTGAGATGTAAAATAAATTAACTAGTTTAAATACATTATTAGAACATTCAATAATTACCTACGGCTATTAAGGCATTAGGTTCGTGCTTGGTCGGATTCACGGACATTAGCCCACGCATGATTTGCCACTGAGCCTTTTAAGTAAAAAGGCATGCAGCTTTAACTGTTGAATTTTCAAATCCGCTGCTTGGAACAGTCAGGTGGTAAAATCCCCGTATTGACCGGCAGCGTGAGAACAGGGTGAAAGGTAAAATCCCCGCACTGACAGGCAGTGTGAGAACAGGGTGAAAGGTAAAATCCCAACATTGACCGGAGTGTGAGGACAGGTGAATGGTAAAATCCCCGCATTGACCGGCAGTGTGAGGACAGGTGAATGGTAAAATCCCCGTATTGACCGGCAGTGTGAGAACAGGGTGAATGGTAAACTCCCCGTATTGACCGGCAGTGTGAGAACAGGGTGAATGGTAAAATCCCCGCACTGACCGGCAGTGTGAGGACAGGTGAATGGTAAAATCCCCGCATTGACCGACGGTGCGAGAACGGTGAATGGTAAAATCCCCGCATTGACCGGCAGTGTGAGACCAGGGTGAATGGTAAAATCCTCGCATTGACCGGCAGTGTGAGAACAGGGTGAATGATAAAATCCCCGCACTGACCGGCAGTGTGAGGACAGGTGAATGGTAAAATCCCCGCACTGACCGGCAGTGTGAGGACAGGTGAATGGTAAAATCCCCGCACTAACCGGCAGTGTGAGGACATGTGAATGGTAAAATCCCCGCATTGACCGACGGTGCGAGAACAGGTTAATGGTTGAATTTTGGCTCGTTTCTTCTGTTAAGGCTCCATTATCCAGGTAAGATTGGATGGGCCGTGGTTACAATTGATTGATTCAAGGATATTATTACTTAAAATACATGAAACTGAGTAAATACTCTCATCTTCTTATACTATCGTAAAATTTTATCTAAGTTATTTATGGTGCATTTTCAAAGCAGGAAATGGGCTCTTGGTTTTAGATTATATAAATAAAGAACTGGATAAGAATTAAGAATGTCTCTTTTTTCAAAAATTCAGCCGTAAACACTTGATATAAAATGGTATGTTATGAAATCGCTAGATTAGTGTGGATGAATGATAATACGGTGTGTGGGTTTAGGCAACTGATGTTAAAGGGACGCTAATTTTAATCAGGTGTGACTATATGAGTTATTCATAAATGAGCCGCGCCACGGCAAAACCAACATCCGCGCAGTCTGATCATGATCCATGCTGTTCGCTTACCAACCCTTTTACAAGTACAGCATAGATCCTGATCAGACTGTGTGGATGCGCAGGCTGGTCTGGATCAATGCTGGTCGCAAACGCACTATGTTGGTTTTGTCGTGACGCGGCTCAAATGTTTACAAGATTCAAGCGGGAAAATCTGTTTGAAGCGTATATGTTTAAACTGCGAAAATTCATTATTTTGAGCATTTTTCAGACATTAGAGGTCATTGATCTTTTAAAGGAGTTACCAAATTATCGCTGACATTGTGTAGTGTTGCAATAGTTATTTTTGTAGCTAGATAAAGGGCAAAAGACCCTTAAAATATGAGATAAAATGCCACAGTGCAAGTAGGGAACCTATATTTACTCAGTATCCGTTCTTAAGTCAATCTATTTTAAGAGAAAACGTCATTTTGCTTCTGGGTATTTTTTGCTCGTTTGGAGTTAATTTCACAACATTATGCAGAGACGCATTTACTTTCAAAACATTTTGTAATGATTTATTCTATACCTATTTATAGTCATGACAGTCAAACGAATTTTTAAACATTTGCCTAATGTTCATGGCTATGCTCTATTTCATTTTACATTTAATATGTACCAAATAAACTGTATTACCAGATACCTAAAGTATTACAGGTATTATTTAACGGAACAAAAATTCTTATGGATGATAACATTAGTTAAATTTATAGGAAACACCAGTTTAACTGTTTTATTAACGTAATCCAAGCCCAATGATAATATATAATATTATATATTGCTAATATTGCCTGAACATTAAGTCAGAACTATTAAACTAACTAAAAAACCACTCAGACAAGTATTGGCAGACAAATATTATTGCGTACTGTATTGTTTATTTTCAGGGTTTCCACAATTTTTTTTTTTACACGAACTTCCGGATAGGAGGTCTGTTGATCTGTACTTATTGTACAGAAGAAGTGATTTTCAAGCAGTAAAATTTACAGAATATTCTTATCTTGCTCACTTTTTCATTTGTTTGTTTGTTTCTTTCTTTCTTTCTCTTCTTTCTTTCTTTCTTTCTTTCTTTCTTTTATTTGATATTGGATCTTTGTTTGAACAGCGTATGAAACTGTGACTTGTTTTTCTTATTTAATATATGTCTTAGGGTAATGTTTATTAGTTTTTCAGATAAAGAAATTAGCTAAAGTCTTGAACGGTCAAAACAAGAGGTCCTGCATATTGACTGATAATTAACTTCTGTTAGAGTCGCTCTATTTTCTCATGACATCAAACATTGAACGAATTATCGAAACTACCGAGTTCTAGTCTGTGCTCTTAACATTAAACAAAACTCTAAAATTACAGTGACTTATAGTTGACTATTCGTCTGTCAAATATCTTGTCTTACAAATAGATATCATTTACAATGACATCTGGATTAATTGTTTAAAAGTTGTACTGGTGTATGATGACCAAGCGTCCAGTGATATGTCAGTTGAAATTTTAGTCGAAGATGGACGCTACATTCAATGCATATTCAAGAATCAAGTAAATATTTACCTTTAATTATGGCTATATTTGAAAAGATCATTAAAGATTGTTGATAAAATCTAGACTTTTTGATAACCTGACTGCTACGTGCGAGGTCTATTTTTTTAAAAAAATCTGAATTGCAGAAATG